GGTTCTGTGTTCTGGTCCTGTGTTCTGTGTTCTGGTTCTGTGTTCAGGTTCTGTGGTCTGGTTCTGTGTTCTGTGTTTGGGTTCTGTGTTCTGGTCCTGTGTTCTGTGTTCAGGTTCTGTGTTCAGGTTCTGTGGTCTGGTTCTGTGTTCTGGTCCTGTGTTCTGTGTTCTGGTTCTGTGTTCTGGTTCTGTGTTCTGGTTCTGGTCCTGTGTTCTGTGTTCAGGTTCTGTGTTCGGGTTCTGTGTGTGGTCTCCATGATGCTCTGCGGCTTCATGGAGACCACACACAGAACAGTCTGCAGTCTGGATTCAGGGTCCTGGACCGTTGGCAGACGTTCCTGATCAAAGCCTGCTCATAATCACATCTTTAAGTTTAGCTCGGCTAATCTGACACATGGGAGCAGAACTCTGACACTGATAATAATCTTATTGGTTGTTGGGCCATCAACACGATTCAACGTAAGAAAGAAGGAATCAGGTGACGAACACCAGGCCTCGAAGAAGACAGCAGCTCGTATGAACATGTACGTTTATGCAGGTAAACCTCAGCGAAAGGCTACCTGGTTAGCCAGGAAACCAAACCCAAAGTGCCAAGCTGTCAGCTACAAAGTGATGTGTGGGTGGAGCTTTAGACCAGGTGATTTTACCTGTCTTGTGAAGCTGTACAGGCGCACCTGATGAACTCTGTCTGTGTCTGAAGGTGTTGCTGTGTTTGCGCTCGGTATGATCGTCAACATTCACAGTGACTCCATCCTGCGTGGGCTGAGGAAACCTGGAGAGGTTGTCTACAGAGTCCCTCATGGTACGTCGCGTCCTCCTCGTGAGCAGACCTCCTCGCCGTTAGCCGCCGGGGCTGCTGCCTCTCGTTAAGCCGCTGCCGTCTCTGTGTTTCAGGGGGCATGTTCGAGTTTGTGTCTGGGGCAAACTACTTCGGGGAGATCGTGGAGTGGTGTGGATACGCTGTGGCTGTCTGGTCTTTGCCAGCCTTCGCCTTCGCCTTCTTCACCATCTGCTCCATCGGGCCCCGAGCCTGCATGCACCACAGGTAACGAGCCTCTGACGAGGCTTTGCTGCTGCTGATGCGACTGGGAGAGTGTGATCATTAAGAAAACACATTTCTGACCTTGCCGAGTGTCCGGCTAAGTGCCTGAGTTTCTTTGGCTCTCGTTAAAAAGTCTTTGGGGTCCAGAAATACTCGAGTGCCAGGTCAGTCCTGCACGGGGGGCTTCGTAAAGGTACTGAGGCGTGTGCTGTAGAGCACAGCGTCAGCATGTTTCACACAACGCTGATAAAAATGCTGCACAGTTTCCATTTAAAGGCTTCACTTTGTGTTTCTGGCTGTTAAACCCAAACATCATCATGAGAAGTTCTCTCCTCTGAAATGAAACTGTTCTTTCTGCAGAGACTACCAGCAGAGGTTCAAGGACTACCCTCGCTCCAGGAAAGCCATCATTCCCTTCATCCTGTGAGGAGCACCGAGCTCGGCCGACTCCGGAGATCCAAAGTTCTTTACCAGCTTCACTCTTCATCCAAACTTTATGCATTTGTTTAATCATCACCTGCATGGTTTTTACTCCTGACGTTGTCCCAGTGTTCCCGTTGATGACGTAGCTTCCTC